CCCAACAATTATCGTCGATTACCTTGCTGCCAGTAGTTGCCAAAGTTATGAAAGCTATTATTTCCGAGGAGATGACCAAATTCCTTCTCAGGAACATGTTATTCCAACACAACAACATGGATTTTGTCTCTGCCTAACAGCAGCCTAACTTGGTCCCATCATATTACCTCTATTTGTAAACGTGTAAACTCCAGACTGTATCTTATTCGGAGGTATTTTTCGGGAGTTTCAATGCAATCATTTTGCAAACTTAACACTATGTACGTAAGACCCATACTTCCCGATCTTGTTCGAGACAAAACTCTGTTGGAAAACGTTCAAAGAAAAGCCACTCGAATTTCTTTGGGACCGAGAAGACCGTCTTATGCAGAAAGACTTAGTATGGCTAACCTAACCACTTTTGAACTTCGCCAACAACGTGGAGACTTAATTACAACATTCAAAATACTAAAATTCAATTTTGGAAACTCGATGAAATATTTATCATAAACCAAGATGAACGCCTCAGAGGTCATCAATATAAACTAAAGAAAGAAAATTTTTCTATAAGACAAAGACAGAACTTTGTTCCAAATAGAGTTTTTGAGTGCTGGAATAACCTCAACGATAACATTGTCTCCGCTTCTTCTACCAACTCGTTCAAAAACAGACTTGACAGTTTTATATTATAGTTAAAATATTGTTTTTCTTTTAAACAAAATTGTAATTTTATTTCTTTTATTAGTAATTTTTGTTATTTACTAGTAGGTGATTAATGAAATTTCTTTGTTTTTGGGCATAATAGGGACTTAGTTCCTCTGCCCTCGCTTATATTATAATAATAATAATAATCTATACATATACACCACTATTCTCATAGTGCATGTATTGTTAATCGTTAATTAGGCGTTTTCTTTTTCTCTTCTATTTATTTATTAATTTATTTTGTAAGTTTTAATGTAAATCAGTTTCAATTTGGTTTTCTATATACCTACTCTCTATTAAGGTTTGTTACCATCTGTCTCAAACTTTACCATGAAAAATTGACTTTTCTGATGTTTTCAAAGATTGTTTTGAATTAAAAAGAATATTGACTGATATTAACTGCTTTGTTATTGAAAATATTATGGAAGAGACTTCTGTTTTTATCTAAAGCTATAGATGGGAGACGTGTAAAAAAGTTAAATACATTTTTCAGTAATGGAGGGATGGTTCGTCGGTCTTCAATTATTGTTTACGTCTAAATTGTCAGGAAGAGGAGAGAAATTGTCGGGAAAAGAAACTACCAAACCTCTTAAATTTCGTTGCGCCGCTTGCCGATCCTTTTCCTCTTTACAAAATACAATGTCGTCATCGTCCAGGCAACATCTCGTTGTTCAGTTCCGTGCTAAATCTCGACGGGTGCAGATCAGAGCAGCGTTTCAGCGCATGCTGGCCCGTGGACCGTAGACGTGCCGGTTTTAAATTGTTTGCACGTGTTTTGGTTTTGGAATGGCTTAATAAGGTTTTCTTTTTTGATATTGCGTTTAGTCTTGATATATCTGGTAAGAATTATTAGTGGTTTTTGTAAGACTTTAACCAGCAAATATCAATTCCATGATTGCTGTTTTAATAGAAAATAGTTAAAAATTAATAGTTATTTGAGTAATTCATCCAAGATTTAACACAGTTATTCAGTTGTATATTTTCTGCTCTATAACAATGTTTAAACAGAATTTTGAACATTCTAGTCTAGTCCACTTTTGTGTTTTAATAAAACTATAATTTATAGAGATTCTTAAATTAAGCGTTCTGCAATTTTCTTCTTCTTCTTTTATCTGGACAGTATTTTTCTTTAACATAGCCTCTTTGTCTATTAGAATATTGATATAAGTTTGAATGCTCGAATAAATGAACTTTGATCCAATAAAATGCAGATATCGAGCACAGTGTTATTAATTAAATCTTGCCCAAGTACTTACGCTTCCTAGAGCATTTTCAGGGGCATTTCGTCAATTTTGGCCTATCCAACAATCACAAAAAAGTCATAACCATAAAATTGTAGATAACACTACACTACACAAGGACCAACAGTATAAAATTATTTAAAAATAGGCGAAGCTACATTATGGTCGGCAACAGGAGAGATAATGGCTCCCGGTATTAACGGAAATTTTAAGGTGTTAATGACATTCTGCGCTTGTTGGATAGGCCAAAATTGACGAAATGCCCCTGGAGATGCTCTAGGAAGCGAAAGTACATGGGCAAGATTTAATTAATAAAACTGCTTGATATCTGCCTTTCATTTGATCAGCTTTATTAGAATATTGTCGTTTACACTCTTTCTAGGTAGAGATAGCAAACTTGCACCAGTCATTGTAAGTTGCCTATCCAGCTCGTATTTCTGACGTCATTACTTTTTGATCTGTCGATTAGTTTCTGTCCTGTTATTCTTCATATGATTCTCATTTCTTGTTTTCCCAGGTATCTTCATGTTCTGCTACTTTCTGATCTCGTTTCAACGGTGTATGCCATGATAGACCTAACTACACATTTATATAAGTTTAGAAAGATGTTTTTTTCTATGTATTGTATCGTTAATACATCCTGCTGTTCTAGTTGATATTGCCCCTTCCTCACTGACTGCTTCCACACTTTTCTTGTCACTTGATAAGTTGATTTGTAGGTCAGACAATTAAGCGGAACACGCGGACGAATTGCACTCAATTCACTGTGAGTTCTAGTACAGAGTTTTCTAACTTTTTTAAAGTCATGCCCCACCTTAGTCTTTCTACAATTCTTATGTGACCTCCCTGTGTAACATACATAATTTTTAATGTTAAAAAATTAAATAGTTTCCTTAACCCTTCCAGTACCGCTTTTTTTTTCAGCAAACGAAAAAATATTTTTTGCCTAAAATGTACTTAAAATAGTTCATATAACACTTTTTGGACATAAAAAAATATAACATGTATATATAAAATTTAATTATTATGGGTTCATTTGTACCCAAAAGTACTTAACAAATCTAAATAAACTAGCGCATATGAAACTTAAAAAAGAATTTATTTCCTTTTGAAGGCACAAATGGATATTGCACTTCTGACATTTCCATCTTCATTTTCCTGTACAACCAGGCTTTTTGCATCTTAAATGTAAAGGTAGCAACGGGTGCTCTGGAAAATGTCCAATATTATTAAATTGCACCTCAGAAAGAGGTCTAATTTCAATGTTTTGGAGTTTTGCAGCTACTAGTGGACTCGATGTACCTCTTGAAGGTCTTCCTCGTTTTCGGTTATTGAAATAGTTGACTTTTATGAGGGCTTTATCAGCTTTTATCCTAAAGTGTAGAAGCTCCATGATATCTTTTAGTAAAATTCCTAAAGTATGCATGTCTAGGTTTTATTGTAACCAAGAGTTTGTTAGGGCCATGTCAACTGCATGAAAGATTTGTTGGACAGTCTGCTTTATATATGCTACCCATGTACTTATTATACTTTTGTATAACTTCGGGTCGACTTACGTCAATGAAACATTTTGTTTTTTTATTTCAAAGTTTTACATCTTCTGTACCAACCCCAACAAAGTTGCGTTAAGTTAGGTCATTATCACTGGCTTGTTATCTAACCATCTGGTTACCACAATTCCATCTCTTGTTTTTTGAAAAAATCTTTTACAAAAACTATTGATTTTTGGTTAAGAATTTGCATGGTTATTAGTTTCAAGTACTTTTGATAATTGCAATACAATAGCTGCACCCTGTTCATATTTCAAATAAGCAGGTTCTAATTCTGTGGTACTACTTTGATAGATTAGAAAAATGTAAATCAATCCACTTTCACCCCCTAATACAGTTTTACTTCCCATGAATTGGGTTTGTTTTTAATGTATTGCTTTATAGACAATCTCTTTTTGAAGGGCATACTTTCGTCCCTGCAAACATTTGGTTCTATAAGCAATTCTATACATCTCTTTAGGACTGATTCAAAAACTGGTCGAATTGTCCATAATTTGTCGTTGCTCTATCTGGGCTCCAGATTGTCAACACAATGTAAGTGGGTGCTAAGTTTGTAAAAACGATTCTATGTCATTGTGTCTGGAAAAATATCAATTTTTTAAGATTTGTTCCAATACATTCACAGTCTTAGAAATTATAGACACTGTTAGACCTTTTATAATACTAAGGCCAAAAAACGATTTTATTTCTTGCATGTTACATGGTACAAATTTCTCAAATTCAGTTTACTAAGCATATTTGTGTATTGAACGAAATTTTCAAATTAACTTCAGTGAAATATCTCAGAAAATATGTAACTGGATATTCCTCAGAACAGTTTACATTAGACACCCTGGTTATTGTACTAGATCATTGTCATGTTACATATTGAACATTCTGTATCTATTTTACATATTCTTTTAGAGTGTTAAAGTTATCATAGTTACCATCGTTTTTGTCCTGTTCAATATCATCCTAGTTTTTTGTCTTATTATCCTCTTCCTCTTCCTTATTCTCTACTTGGTTTTGGTTCTCTCAGAGATCATCTATCATATGGTCAATTCTCTGTCTTACTTGTATTTCTTCTTCGCAGTTACTACCATCACTAACATTTCCTTCTATGTCGGACAGTTTTTCTAGCTCTTCTAGCAGTTCCTTCCCCGTTAAGTATTTTATTGGAAGCATTTTACTTTGAAAATGAAAATAACACTTAATCATTTTGAATACAATTATGCTCATCGAATTTGAGGTACACTTCTACTTTTAAAAAAAGTCAACTTTCAGTAAAATATATTCACACTTAGTAAGAAATAACACTACTTTCAACATTGCATTGCAATGTAAACCGAGATTAACTTTTATTCAAACTGATATTTGAAGAAACAAGTACAATTACCTCTTCCGACCAATGGTTTAAGGTACATATTCTTGTAGAATTATATGTGCATTCAAATTATTGGGTACAATTTATACCCAAAATTATTGAAAGGGTTAATAGGTTCCAATTTGGTTAGCTCCAGTCTCAAGTGTCCACTTTGTGTTATATTTAGCCGATTTCTTTAGTACTAAATCTAGTTCCAGTTTCAGTACTAAATCTATATTCAGCTAAATGTGAAGATAAAAACGGTGGTAAAAGTTTTCTTGCACATTTGGTTAAATTTGGGTATTTGATTTCTGTTTCCTCACAAAGCCATGCCATCGCTTCGTTTATATTGAATAACGTTTTAAATGACTCATTATTTTGCAATTTTGTAAGTTCTTCTTGATACTGCATATTTGATAAATCAGACGAATCCATTAACATTGGCTGCATCATCCAAATTGGAAAATCAATTTCTTTTAAATCAGAAAATCTTTCTTATAAATCACTTAAACCGGTATCAGCTACTTCACATTTTTGGAGCCAATAAAACTATTCAAGTTTTTGTTGTTAGTATTTTTCTGATATAACTCAACATGGGCAATGAAACACAAACGTTTTTGCTTCTCAATCAACAATAGTTTTATTTGTTCCTTAAAGTTGCTTCTTTAATATATCTAGTTTTTCAAAGATATTGACTATATAACTCACAAATGCAAAAAAAAATCACTAAGAGTATCCAAAAGTTCCATAAATCTTGTCAAGCAATTTCCTTTAGAAAGCCATCCTACTTCAGTATGAAGGCAAAATCTAACGTGGTCTTCATTTTGTTCTTTACAAAATAGCTAGAAGGGACCCTCACATTTAGAATTAGCTTTAATAGCATTAATATACATTATTACTGAATGTGGTGTTTCATTTAGAAGAGGCGAGATGTTTTTAGGTACCAAGTTTTCCCTACGAATAACAAACTGCACAAGAATCATTTCAAACAGCCTAACGTAGTAGTTTCAAATTCTGAATCAAATTGAATCTGCTATTTAGACTGGAATACGCTAGTGTGTAGGATTGACCTATGGATAAGCAGTACAGCAAGAGATGTTACCTTGCGGCTCTTCTTCTTCTTCTTCTTCTTCTTCTTCCGCTTTATAAACAATTCTGCTTATTCATTGGCGGATTAATACCTTTATGGAAGGTTGTAACTCCATTTTTTTGCGGTCGTCCGATACCTCTTCTGCTGATTGGTGACTTATATCTTACTATTTTGAAGACACGGGTCTTCTCCATTTGCTTATGTGGTTATTCCATTCTTTTAAACTATTTTGTGTTCATTTATTTATTACGCCGCACGTTACATTGTCTTCTAATGTCTTCACTTCTCTTTCGATCTCTCAGCGTATTTCCTGTAATTCTTCTCAGTACTCTCATCTCTGCAGTTTTCAGTAGCCTTTGCGTTGTGGCTGTATCGAGACTTGTTTCTGATGCATCTGTCATTATCGGTCTTACACTGACTAGGAATTCTTCACCTCATCTTTGTGGACCAGTCTTTGCAGACTATCTTTATCTTGGGCTATACATATCGCGTCGTCTGCGTAATAGAGTATTTTTATTACTTTGTTACCCATTCTGTATTCTCTTCCTTTGTTAACACTTTTGATGATTTCATCCATAATTAAATTGAAGAGCACAATATTTTTGTGAACAAATTATGGCAATGTCAGATAGCAATGTGATCCAATTAGAACTTGTTTTATTTTCTGATAAGTGCACCTTTACTCTTCACGGTCATGCTAATCGGCAAAATTGCCACTATTGGTCCAGGGAAAATCCTCTGGATGAGAGAAGGCAGTACTCAATGCCCTGAGAAGGTTAACGTGTGTGAAGGAATGATTGAAGATCAGGTCATAAGTCCCTTCTTTATAGATGGCAATTTGAATGGCGACCATAATTAAGTGTTGCTCCAAAGTAATGTTCCAACGTTGGTCAACTTGTATTCTGATCTTGGAAACCGACAAGTTCCAGCGAATATGATATGGTTTCAACAAAATATTTTCTTGAACTTCCACCTCAACCAAATATTTCCAAATCGGTGGATAGTGAGGCGAGGATCGATGGAATGGCCACCTTATTCCCCAGATTTGAGGCCATTAGACTTTTTTTTATTTGAATATGTGAAAAGTATTGTATACAAAACTAAATCCACTGACTTAGCTGACTTACGAAGACGAATAACGTGTGCGATTAGGTCGATCACATCTGAGATGTTGAGTAACGTTCGAAGAAATTAGGTTAGGGTGTTGCCAAGACGTTCGTGGGAAGCATTTTGAACATCTCTTACATTGATATTATTGTTTAGATTTATATTATTTAGAAGTTTTTGAATATATTGTAGCGACTTTCGACAAATAGATAATTTTCTTTTCTAAACGTGAATTTTTGCATTTTATTAATATTTCCGAAACAGTCAAAGATCGGTATAGGACATTGTATTCAAAAAATGTTTAAAATAATCTGAGGAATCTAAAAATTAATTAATATAAAAGGTGTTATATTTAAAATAAACAAGTTGCTATTGGCCACCGTTATCTGATACACTCCGTATAAAAAGATTTAATGGAAAAAAATGCGCAATTATAAATACTAATCGACGTGTTAGACCGTTTTTTTCGAATACTACCTCATTCATTTATTAGCTAATTTATTCCATTTGGCTGACACAGAGCGTATAAGATAATTCAGAGTATTTTTCGAATTATATAATATATACATTCCTGCAAACTTCCAGCCTCTCGATGTGCTTATTTCTATTTCAATCACAATTTTCATTAATTTTCATCAAAACTAAATTATTTGAACATCTTACCTAGACGAGAACAATACATTTCAGTAGAAAATTAAAATAAAAAACGACCCTTTCTTTAGACGATACAATAGTGTCAAGGAAGGTGGCATCGTTGTTTATTGTACGTCTAGTCGCTAACACACAAAAGAAAAGCAACCAAGGAAGTTAAAGTCATTTCCTAAAATGTAACTAGCAACATTTCTGGAAATGCACTTCTCTACACTGGTTATTGCGTTTAGATTTATTATGCAGCAACTAAATATAGCGGAGATAAGGATTTCTTGGAAAATTGTGAGGTCAGTAGCGGCACTCAAAGATATTGTTTATAGTTTTACTACGTTTATCGTTTATAGGTTTCTTTATTTTGATCTGAAGATGTATATAAACCATACATTAATGATAAATTGTAAGATCCAAAGACTCAAAATAAAATTATGTGGTCCCAAACGTAAGAAAGGATTTCGTCCGAAACTTCAACGAAACTGGCAACCGTATACCGTTCTGCATATATTATATATATATATATATATATATATATTATATATATATATATATATATATATATATACTTCATCTAATTTAGATAACGACTTACGTCATTATCTACGTCAGAGATCGAAGTTGACATAGTTGCCAAAGTATAAAAAAATCCTAACTCCATTTTATCAAATAGATTACATAATTATTGCAAAAGTATTACCATCTCTTTACAACGACTATTTAAATTTACGTGACATTTTTGAAATAAAACACTAATTTTGTTCTAAAATGAACAGATTTTATTAAATAGTTAAAAATATAAAACAAGATATATTCACATTAAAATTCAAAATAATGAAGTACAAAAAGTGTCAACACCGCAACTGTCAAATAAGTGTTACCAATTTATGCCAAAATTTTACCTTCGTTCGATTACAGTTACAGTGTGTTCAGAACAAATGTTCTTGATAAAAACGCTTTATAATGCATTTATACAAATTAAATGAAACATATTATTGTGTATTTCTTAAAGTAAAGTATTTCATAAAGTTTAATAGAAATTTTTAAATATTATGTCTACGCGTATATAATAAAATATGTCTAGTGGCTGTAATGCCAGTGTACTCGGTAAAGTGATTCTAACAAAGAACACACCTACACCCTAAATATTTTGTGTTGGTATCATGTGACGTCACAGGCTATGACGCCGATGACGTGCATCGTGACATTTTTGAAATAAAAACACACTAATTTTGTTCTAAAATGAACAGATTTTATTAAATAGTTAAAAATATAAAACAAGATATATTCACTTTAAAATTCAAAATAATGAAGTACAAAAAGTGTCAACACCGCAACTGTCAAATAAGTGTTACCAATTTATGCCAAAATTTTACCTTCGTTCGATTACAGTTACAGTGTGTTCAGAACAAATGTTCTTGATAAAAACGCTTTATAATGCATTTATACAAATTAAATGAAACATATTATTGTGTATTTCTTAAAGTAAAGTATTTCATAAAGTTTAATAGAAATTTTTAAATATTATGTCTACGCGTATATAATAAAATATGTCTAGTGGCTGTAATGCCAGTGTACTCGCTAATGTGATTCTAACAAAGAACACACCTACACCCTAAATATTTTGTGTTGGTATCATGTGACATGACGCCGATGACGTGCATCGTTATATAAATCAGATGAAGTGTATATATATTGCAGTGGCGGTCGTATCGCTTTAAGAAGGTAGTGACAGAATTCGGACAACTGCCCAAATTTTCAGTGACAGGTTCATGATATTGTCAAAAAAAGGTATAAAATAGAAATTAAAAAAAATGGGGGCAGATACTTTTATCTTATATATGTATCTACTATTTCTCGGGAAACAAAAATTGACTAAAATTTGTCAAAATAGTTCCGTAAACTAATTAATTATATAAAAAACTCAACTTACCTCCAATATTAACTGCTGATGTACTTGAGCTTACATAAAAATAAACAGCTTACATTAGAAAAAAATCTAATCTTTGTAGACTAGTTAGAAAGTAAACCAATAAATACTGTGAAAACCCGAAATAAAAAAACGTCAATCATACTATTTCCTTCATCATTTCTTATTCTTATACCTTAAACTCTATGGACTCTTACTATTCCCGCTCTTTCTGTATCAATATATCCATTTAAATGACCTCCAATAAAACACTTTTTGTCTACAGGAATCTCAAACATCTCGCAATCAAGGGCCATCCAAAATTCTTCCTTTTCCTGTTCTTCACACCCTGCCGGGTGTAAGCACCTATGATGTTCACATTGGTATTGCCTGTATTCAGTTGGACACTGACTATTCTATCACTTCTTCTGGTTACCCTCACAAAATGTTCCTTCATTCGGTGTACATAATAACTTCTGCAACCATCTCCAAGATCTCTCGATATATTAAGTTTCTAATTAGTTTCTTATACACAAAGTACACCAATCCTTCTCTTCATGTAGAGAAGATTGCTTTACTTTGTGTGTACCTTTCTGCGAGCTTTATTCCTTTACCTGTCATAATTCCGACGTTGAGAGTTACAACTTTCAGGATTAGCTTCTT